AAACAAATCTAGCACAAGAGGAAAAAATATTTTGCTTAAAGGCCATGTCCAGTTAGATAATATAACAACAAATTAATTTCCATAACAACAGATCTTCAAAAGTTCTCTCAAATCCTTTTACTTCATCTGTAAAAAATTTTCTACATTTCAACAACAATGTCTTACATTTATGTAATGGTTTATAATTCTTCAAGTGTCCTATATTTGACTCTAGAAAAGTTACTATTAGTGATAATAGACAATATTTCTGCTTTGCTGATAGAATTCCCCGCCCCCCACTCCAAGGAAACACTAAGATTGTAAATGGCATAATTAACTTCTTTAGAAAGTAAATGTATTGTGAACATTTTGGAGCATTGAAATGTAAGAAATTGATTTGAAAATTAAAGATTATTCCTTGCTAAAGCAGCCTCACAAGAATTTTTACATATCAACACAATTATTCTAGACATAATAACTGCCTCTATCTAGAAGAATTTCTTTTATATTTTAAAATTCTTCATTTTACTAATAACGTAGTTCATCTTGCCCTTTCAAAAAGATTATAAATTACCACCACTTGACATTTGATGAACTGTTGTTTGGCATTTTTCTTTATATCTTAGAGAAACTACCTCCTTTCCCCAATAACCACTGTACTCACCACACAGGCCTGAGGGGCACAGCAGTAGGGTCAAGACCCCCAGGTGGTACAGGGCTGGGAGAATGCCCTGCAACTTGGGGGGCATGGTGCAGAGTCTCAGAGGTGCCACACTGGGCTCAGCTCTCTTAGACACCTCGAATCAAAATGAAGAAATGTTCTGTAAGTAACCGTGAAAATGGTGCCTAAACTAAGGAACTCGGCCTTGACAAAGGCCCAGCACTGTGTCACGAAAAAGGGGAGGGGCATGGGGAGTGACTAGGAGACCAGGTGCTGAGCTCAGCTCTGTCAGGGTGAGCTGATAAGGTCTGGGAAGAAGAGTCTGGAGCTTGATGCAAGAGCCCTGTGGGGTTCTGTGCATATTGACTATTGTAACCCCAAGACTTCATTGCTGTTGGGATGGTAACGGTAATGAGTTTGTTTCTGGACATATGATTCCTCTCTGAGTAAATGAAGGCAGAAGGCGCCAGGATTGCAGGGCCTGATGCACAGGGTATGTGGTGGGCTCTCCAGGAATTACAAGGCAGAGTATGAGGGAAAGGAAACTGTCTGAGAAACAGTCCTTGTCCAGGAAAGTGGTTTCTTCCATTTGGGGTATGAATTGCTAATAGAATCAAGTTTTTTAATGTAGAAATTTAAATTTCTTTCTTGGTAGCCTATGGTCTACCAAGAACACACTAATATGAGTCTGTGAGAAAATACTCAAGAATCTAGTCCAAACAATAATTATTCTTCCAGATTATTGCCTAAATTGTCTCCTTCAATGGGACAAATGAGGCTACCAACCTGGATTCCATATGTTGCCCACCAGCTGTGGATATCTGTGCTTAGATTGTTGCCTCAAACAAAAGAGTAAGCTCTGGAAATTGTCCTAAAGGGACCTTCACTACTCAGCTGAACTGGAATGACTACCACTTGCTTATCTCTCCAAAATGCTTCTCTCTCAAAAATAAATGAGAAGAATTACCACATATAACTGAGGGAAACTCTTTGGAATGCTGAGGAAAGCACAAATAAATGTCAACTTCCTAGAGATCAAGGAAAACAAAGCCACCAAATGGCTACTTCCTTTACAAAGAGGAATCACAACAAAGTGAAGTGATTTAAAGGATTAACCAGAAGCCTGCTTTTAATCTTTCAGCAGGTAGGGTACCTGAACTTTATATAAATTATCATAATTAATCTTCAAAAAACCCTAGGACATAGTTTTTACCTTCCTCATTGCATAAATGAGGAAACCAGTTTAGATAGAAAAAGTAACCTTCCCTCAAACCTCTTAGATCAGCGGTGGACAAACTACAGCCCGAAGGCCGGATCCGGCCCATTTGAAATGAATAAAACTATTGAAAAAAAAGACCGTACCCTTTTGTGTAATGATGTTTACTTTGAATTTATATTAGTTCACACAAACACTCCATCCATGCTTTTGTTCCCGCCCTCCGGTCCAGTTTAAGAACCCATTGTGGCCCTCAAGTCAAAAAGTTTGCCCACCCCTGTCTTAGATAGTTAGTAGCAACCAGGTAGGTCAAATTCTGAGCCCAAGACTGATTTTATAATACAGGCTTTTCTTTATACGAAAATAATTTCCACTTTTGGGGCAGTATTGGCTTCCTGTAAGAACAATGAATCAGCCATTTGGGAGTAAATCAACACTGTTGGGCCTTCCCGATGGAATGTCCACCAACAGAAGCTATTGGTGGTGTAGTTAATGGCATAGATCGGGACCTTCTCCAGAGAATGTGCTGAAATGGCAGGAACCTCCTCATCCTAATACTTTGGAAGTTATACCCCAGCCCACAGGGGCAACCAATGCCCGACTAATATTGGGACACAAAAGCCCTGATTCCTTGCCTCAAGTCTTGATCATTCTGTGTTCCAAGCCGACATGGCCATGGATGAACCTGAGAGGGGGCGGAGAAGGATAAAGAAAAGACACTCAAGAGAAGAAAGCTGGGTCTGGGTGGGACGCTGCCCTCTCTGATGGAGAGAGAGCATCACAGTCTACAAGTGAATCTTTATTTTATGGCCAGATTCCAAGAGGCAAAGTAAGGGCGGGGTTACAACAGTCTCCTGGGTTTCAAATTTAATCAATTACATGCACCTGATCAAGTTTTGTTTATTGCTGCACCTCCCACAGCCTATATCACTTAGCCACGGGGGACCACAGGTTCGGACCACAAACTATAGCCTTTGGCGATAATTGTGCTGGTCCTTACATGTGGCTTTACCAGGGGAGGATCCTGCCCTCTCATTAGTCCCAGGCTTGAACCTGTCCAAATGCTGTAGCCACTCGCCACCTTCTGTGAGGCAATTTATATGCTAGAGCTCACCATGGATCAAGTGAAGGCTACACTAGCTGAGAACACATCCTTGCTCAGCTCCTTTGCTCCCCTACCATGCTACTTCATTGCCTTACATTGTGTGTGTGTGTTTGTGTGTCTGTGTGTGTGTGTGTGTTTCCTGATGAGCACACTATCAAAAGTTTAGATACATCTACATTCATTCTGGAGAAACTGACTGAAGACAGTTTGTACCACAAGTGGACCTTAAAGGCTGACTCTAAGAATCAGATTCTAGACTTGGATCACCCACCAGCCAACTGGCAATCACTGGTTATGGGTGAATATTGACAGTCCTGCTTGCTGTAGCATTGCAGCTATGAACATGTTCACCTGGAAAGTGCCATGGGATGTAGAAGGAAGGAGGTGCATTGGCTAGTGCAATGCCTCGGACACTTGAGAGGGGCAGTGGGAATGGCAATAATGGCTGTGAAACTGGGTGACTGGGTACCATTAATACAGACTCAGTGCCCCTTCGCTGAAATAATGAGAGATCAAAGCAATCAATCACAATTTAAATCCAAGTGTGAAAGACAGAAGGTGTCCTCTGTCAATATTTAAAGGAAGTTTGTCTCGGGTGGCTGGGAAGCTAAACTAAGGCCATACTCAGGATATAATCTTAAAAGGCCAACAAATTATCCAAGTATTTGGATAAAAAAACTTTCAAATATGAGAGAAGAACTCAGTATTTTACTTTCTATGAGGAAATACATGAAGAAAGAGGAGAACATGAGTTCAAAAACCAAAGGCAGACAGCACAGGAAAGCAAGTACACAGACAGGAAAACCTCCACTGCATGTCCAAGTGTGTGGCAGACACTGGCAAATTCCTGTCAAGATCACTAGGGCCCTCTCACTTTGGCACACTCTGGACCACTTCCAACCCCAGGGACTGCTTTGTCTGTCCATATCTCTACCCTGGAGGTTACTTCACACAGTCCCATAGGTGCCATTGGGCACCAATGTCAGTGTGGTCAGGAGCATTCCTAGCTGGTCTGCAGTGTGGGTCAGATGTCCTGAGAGCAAGACCTATTGGCTAATTACCATTGTTCTTCATTCTCCAGAGGACAAATCATAGTTGGGTTCCACACACATTCAGAGGGCAGACAGCATAACTGAGCTCCTGTCAGCTACAGCAATAATAATCCCCTCAGCACTATTCCTCTTTAGGCGGCCCTCCCTTCTGCATCTAAGTAACTACCCACCCTCCGTGCTTTCCGAGGCCACCTCTCAGGGGAAATACTGGTAAGTACTCACAAATCCTTGCTTCAAGGGAAACTCAAAATAAACATGAAGCAAAAGGAATTCCTCATAGGAAGAGCAAGTAACGGCATTCAACACCAAGGATAGATACCTCCCAGTAACGGGGTCTCCCTAACAGTCCAAGCCCCTCTATGAGACCTGTAATTTACTGAAAACATGCTCTACACCATTGCCTCTTCAGAGTATGTTTGGGAAAATTAAGCAAAAGAGGCCAATGTTAACCATAAGGTACTGTGAAAAGCGATTCACATGGGGTGTCTCCTTGTGTGTGGGATAGTTGCTCAAGGCTTTTTATTTGTCTATTAGAGAAAATGAGAACCAGATCAGATGCAGGACTTGCGAATGCACAGGGGGCTGCCACGTGGGCTTCACATTCACCGAGTTTTCAGAGTTTGATCTCTGAGGATGAGATAAGTGGGTCAGACACAACATAAATGCCTTCGTATAAAACCAAAGTCAAGAGGCAGCCTTAGCAAGTCAGAGACGATGCACTTGGGAGTTTAGAAAGGCCACAAATCTCTGCCAACAGGAGAGAGTGGACAAGACTTTGGGGCTTGATGACATTTAATCTAAACACTGAGGAACTGGTGATTTGCCCATGGGGAACATGGAGTGAGGGAATCCAGGGTAATATAACTGATGGGAACCCAAGTCTATAAGCAAGACCCATACAATACAATTAATGTAAATTATGTAAATTCATTTTGGGGTTTGTATATGGACCTCATTTCACAAAGTCTCAATGACCACAAAGACAAAAACTGTAATAGTAAATTTTTAATGGAAAAATGTGCACTTTGTGTCCACAAAAAGCAAAAATGTGAGCCATAAGATTATCAACAATTCTATAATCTCAGAGCACTAGCAAATAAAAGGCAAATTACCATTTTTAGGTATTCATTACAATGCAAAAGAATGGCAGAGTTCTAAACTAAAGTGACCATATTGAATGGAAGGCAGCAGCGCACCTTCGGGGAAAAATCAGAGTGGTGACTACAGAATGGATTTCTTTGCCTTGTCCCTCTGCTGTTCCAGGAGGTCAATCTCCAAAGACAATTTATACAGCTCCAGGGCCATCTTCACATCCTCCACGCTAGAGAGACACTGCATGAGCTTTCTGCCTGCTATCACTTGCTCACAGCCTGCAGGGAACACCTAAAAGAGAAACAGGTGGTGAGTGGTTGGGAGGCTTCTCTGAGATCCTGACAATGCAGCACAGAAGGTCAGGTCCAAGACCAGCCCCAGCGTTGATGGGAGAGCAGGACAACCAGAGGCCTCCTGGCCCCA